GTTTCCACCCATTGCTTCTTGTCCTGCCCTCAGGTGTTTTAGGGATTAGGTTGACTCCCTCTTCTTTGGGACAAACACTTAGATATTGGAAGATTGCTATCATATCACTCCTAGTCCTTCATTTCATCAAACTAGACATACCAATTCCAGCAACTGTTCTTCATATGCTTTAGCCCCAGGTCCCCTAATCATCTTTGTTGCTCTTCTCTGAACTCTTTCTGAGAGTCTCAACATCTTTTCTACATCATGATGACCAAAACTGGATGCAGAATTCCAAGCGTGGCGTAATAATTTGATCATATGGAATACTATGATGGTAGCTCTTTAAGGTGTTGTTTTGGACAAAAACATTTACAAAAACTTCAGGAAAGTTGGGTTGCAGCTTATAATGAGAAGGCATCATATTACTTTCCAATTAATTTTAATTAGCAATTAATTTTAATTTGCTGTATTTTAGTTCCAACAGTTTCTGCTTTCTCCCTCTCTGCAAGAAACTCCATCCTACGCATGCCAGGGAATGTAGACGTAGCTACATGTTTGACTCTCCAAGTTCTTTCCTTTCTCAATCAATCTCACCCCACAATCAAACTAAAAACTGTGAATTGTCCGGGTGGGTTTTGTAGCTCTTTTATTAATACTTATTTTTCAATGTAAGTATAAAAGTGACTATTCAAGATTTGTAAAAAGTAGGAGATCGTGACTACAGAGAAATGCACAAGGGTCAAATGTAGGCTATAGATCATAACATCCCAGTCTTCTCCCAGTATAGATATATTTCTGAACATACCTGTATAAAATAAAAAATACTTTGCCTGGACTGGTGCAAGTTTAGCAAGAATATGAATCCACGGAATGAACTTAAAAAAAAAAGAATGGTTTTATTGTGACTTTTTGACAGTGAACCCTTGTCGATATGATAGGTATCATTGGACATGTGTTATACATTATGTCACGACAATAAGTGGAATGGCACTGTGTCAAGTGACTCCGGATTAGTTGTGAATGGTCCTCGCTGACCTCAGTGCATTTTGATTGTCACAGAAATTTCACCACCAAGTTTGTGTATACAGTTAAGTAGTTGGTCTTATAAGCACCATTATAAACCCTTGCGTGAAGGGAGTTA